GAGGAAGGGGGTGTCATTAGGTCTGTCAGAATTTTGGCCCATGTTGGGAACCTGTGCTTGCCCTTGTTTTACAGAATTAACAGACTCTGTAAGTGCCTCGAGGAGGAGGAGGAGGAAGAGGACGAGGAGGAGGAGGAGGACGAGGAGGAGGAGGTTCTGCTGTTCCTCCTCAAAAGGAAAAAAACACCTTGATTCAAATAAAACCACTGCAGATAAATCTGCTTACATTTTGCTTTGTAATAAATATAGGTGTCTGACAACAGAATCCTAGGCAAAATCACATGTAAACACAACACTGGGTGTCAAAACTTTGAGAGCTGATACAAGAAAATGCTGTAGATGTCCTGCCTTATATAGAGGACAATATTTTCATTCTGTGAAGAAGTAATCTTTCATGACAAAGAAACACCTCAGTCACAGCATATATGACAATAACATGCACCTAATTACAAGTTGGTTTTACAGAATACCTACTGGATGTTCATACAAATGCACTATGTCTGCAGTGTATACAGAGATGGGAACACACGGGGCATGGCAAGAGAACAGATTTTTAAAAGTGAAACCTCGAAAAGTTGGACATACAAGTGAGTACTGTCCTCCTGTGAGTTGTCACTTTGAGAGGCTAAATCCCAACTCATTTCAAAACATTTCTTAGGGATTTTATTTAAAGGGGAGAAATAAGGTCTGACTTACCTTAATTACCATCTTTATTCATTCCTTTGTGCTATGAACAACTTGGGGATTACTTCCAAAGTTCAAATCTATCTTTATTTTTTTGGTTTTTTGAGACAGGGTCTCACTATGTAGTTCAGGCTAGTCTTGAACTCACTGTGTAGGCCAGGTTGGCCTTGAACTTGTGGTGATCCTCCTGCCTCAAGTTCCGGAGTGCTGGGAATATAGGCATGTGATAACACACCTGGCTATAAAACCATCTTTAAAAGATAAAGATTTCTCACTTTTCTGGGGAGATTAAAGGAACATGTCAGACCCTAAAAGCCACTCTAATAAAGGAATTCCATAATTTTCTTTTAATTACTTGGGCCAGCTGAAGTACGCAGTACATGGTTTCCCAAAGGGAGATCACCTACCCACATTATGATCTAAAACTTGGGTTTTCTGGATATTAAAAAATTCTATGCACAACCCTTAGTCATATCTCACATGTATGCATTCACATATATACATCTTAATATATCAGGAAATTAATAAATGAGAAGAAGGCATACTACTTACAAGGAGAGAAAAATATGCTCTTTAGTCCAACACTGACCTTTGTATCCTCTCAGCTGACCAGCTTCTGGTAACTTAATTCCTTTGCCCATCTCCCATGGAGCCACATATCAAAAGCAAACATAGCAAGTGATCCTCACATCAAGTGAAGACATTTTAAACACACCAATTGATGAGCAAGAAAAAAAGAAAAGAAAGCCAACATTTGTAAAGCATACACCATCACCACCCCAGGTTTGGGGATGTGGAGAAGTAACTGGTGGGGTGGATACTCTCTGTCTTCTGAAAGCCTTCAGCATTTAAGAACATTTGTGAAATCACACTTTCAATAGCCTTGAGACTCCTTTCCTTCAAAAATATGCAAGATCATTCACAGAGCACAGAGAAACATGCTCGCTGTACTTGCTCCAGAGCAGAAAGGAAGCAAGACTTCGTTTTGGACATCACATCTTTTTTGCTCAGCGTAGCTCTCTCTAGCCTACCTGTGAGCTAGCTGCCTGCCTCGATCTTTTGAACACCTATTGCTCCTTCACTGTCTCTTAGGACAGTGCTCGATTGTGCTTCCTGGGACTAAGCAAGTTGCTGGTGAGAATTTCTCTATCAGTACTTGGCATAAAGGTGTTTCAGCCACAGCATCACCAGAGTGCAAGTGGCTGAGGGCACCCCAGGTGGGAGCAAACTGGATGATGACTGGCTTTTCTGCAGGAACATTCTGAAGGCCTCTTCCCCGACCAACAAAACCAATGGATTCTCTATTCCATGTTTAGAACTTATTTAGAGCAACTTGATTCCCACTCCAGCTTTGTAGTCAAACTCACACATGAGTTGGAAACCCTCAAACAAGTGAAATGAGAAAGGTTCTGCACCTCCTTGGTCTCCCACCATGCTGGGGAAGAGCGAGCCGGGCAAGGGGAGAACATGCTGACCTCCACACTGTTCCTGGCCAACAGCATCTAGGAAGCAGAACGAACACTAAGAAAAGAACGCTAGGAGTATTCCACACATGCTGATATTTGGGGAAAATGTGCATTTCCTGGTAGCTTTAGCTATTGGACCTACAGAGAGTAATAATTCTTACATACAAACCCATCTATTTAATGAAACTCCAGGGTCATAGGCCTGATCCCAACTACATCGTATATACCATGTAAAACTCTGGCAGCATGAAGATGTTACCAGAATCCACTCAACGATGAAGCTGCGCTACTTTGGCACACTTTACTCGGAGCCAAAGCACTGACCCTTTACGGAGGTGGTCAAGTCCTAGGGTCAGATGCCCCTGAGAAGTTCTGAAGAAGACCAGGCCTTTGGACAATGCAGAACTATTTTTTAAAATGTGTTTTGTATCTGTAATGTAACAGAACACAAAGATTTCCATCCATGCCTGCTGTTGATGGGTAATTTTAGGAGTCCTGGGTTTTGTCCTATTTCCTAGGTTCTGAGAGGTATGGCTGCTTTTGCTGCTGCTGCTATGTTGCAAACACATCACAAATACACAGTCAGAGAGCCCAGACATAGTAGTGCAGGTCTTGTTTGAGGCTGTGCACCCTATAGTTTAAGCTGTGAGGCTTTGAGAAGGGACTTCACATTCCCGATTCCCTGCAATTAGAATAATGAACTTGTTCCTGCTCCCCAGGCACTTTGAGGACTAATTAAAAGGTACATCCCACAGTGCCTGCATAGTCAGCACTATAAAATACAGCTAGCATAATTCTTCTCCAATTTTAATGAGATAAGGAACTGTAGACTCCCCAGGGCTCACAATGGGTGCTAGGCATCTACACTCCATTCTTCCTGTAAGCAAGTTAGGCTTTAAGAAACTATGAAGATGAAACCGTTTGTTTGGGACTCTTGCTCGGCAGGAGACAGCCCATAAAGGAAGACATCTGAAAGCGATGGATCTCTTTTCTCACAGAAGAGTCTTATAGATTAGGAGAAAAAAGAATGGCAAAAGCAACAGTACAATTGTAACTTAAGCCCTAAAGAATGGTCATGTTTCCATCTGTATGCTGACAATGAAGACACCTTGGAATTCAGGGGCCCTACACAAGGCAGTGAAACTCATGCCTAAGCATGCAGATGCAGTTTCTGGAGTATGTAGACCATGCTTTGGGAGAAACTGGGCTATCATTCTCACTCTTTCCTATGGCTGCGGAGATAGCCCAAGTTTGGGGTGGCCCAGACATGAATGTGGAGGATAGCAGAGTTGACTTTCTTTCCCATCTCTCAACAATTTTCTTTCTGGTCTATCTCCAGCAATAATTGGGATCAAAATGTCCTTAAGGGAATTTTTTGCCATCAATTGAACCTCCCCTGTGCCCCATACAAAGTGATCAGATGTGATCCATCCAGTTCATCCCCTCTGGCATCCACAACAACCCTGACCCACTGATGAGGCTTCTTGCGAACTTTTTCCACACCCCAGGGCGAGCTATCATTGTGCAGACTCTTGGTGCTGCCTTGGTTTCCTGTTCTGTGCAGTATGAACACTGGACGCTCAAGCTGAGACCAGAGGAAGTTACAAGCAGGCAGCCCAGTGGGCAGCTCAGTGACCAGCAGAGGTAGGGTGGGTAGATCCCTACTTAGTCTTGTCACATCATGTGGTTCAAAGCCCTGTTGGCCAATTTCCTCCTATTTCCTCCCTCCCCTCTGCATCCTACACCTCATCTTCCTTCTACCTCTTCAATTTGGGGAGGCTGTAACTTTACCCAGGTTACGGTCCAAAGACCAGCCCTGAAATAAACTACCCAAATGAAATTTCCCGAGTAGTGCTCTCTTCAGTATTTCATTTAAGAGTTCCTTTAAAAAGTCATAGATGTAAGTGGTCACAGTGACCCACACCTGTTATCCCAGCTATTGAGGAGGCTGAGGCAGAAGCATCATGTAGGCCAGCTTGGGCAATTTAGCAAGACCTTGTCTCAAGAATTTAAAAAAGTGCTGGGGATATAGCCCAGTGGCAGATTGCTTTCCTAACAAAGAGAAGGTTCTGGATTCAATTTCTAATATTAGAAAAAAAATTCTCAGAACTATTTTTTTTCTTTCTTTCCTTTTCCCCTAAGGAAGCACAAAAAAAGGAAGAGATCTGGGAAAACATGGATCCAAAAGAGTTGGGGGGAAAAATTCAGGATCCTAAAAGAGCACCTGACGCCTGCTTAGCTCCTCAATATCACAGCAGACAAGAAGCCCACCACCTCATTCACTCATGGCTCTTTTCAGTGGCACTTCTGTCTCACTTTGGTCAAGTTGCCTCACAACGGAAACCTCAGAAGCTTGATCATACCGTGTATCTATTGGCTTGACAGGTTTCAAAGAAAGTTCACAGCACAGAGAAGCACACATGGTAAGTCTGCATGCTCACCAGGGAGTGCATGGGCTAGAGGACAGTGGTGAAGAGACTTGTGAGCCCCAAATACAAAAACTGGTACAGGGCTGGAGCCATTGTAGATGCCACCACGTCATCGTTTGTAAACTGTCATCCATTTCATACAGTGCTGTCTTGAAGACCTTACCTAACAGAGTAAGGGAACAGAAATATCAAGCTCTTTACAAGAGAACTGAAGTGTGAGAGAAAAAAACCCAGTGCCATTATCTTGATGTAAATTGTGACGGTGACCCATGAAAGCCTCCCCAGTGTGCAGCCAGACTGGGAGTAACAACTGTAGCCCAACCTGAAAGCCAGCCAGGAAGCCAGCAGGGATGTTTTTCTACTGGCCACTGTTTGACACAGCAGGAATGAGAACAGATCAGATAATGCTCTTCTAATTCCCATACCTAAGGAACCCTGCAATGTCTTATTAAAAAGAAAAAAAAGGAAGGAGGGACAGAAAAGCAAACTTAAAGAAAGTAAAGCAGAGACAAACTCAGAGAATTTAGGGAGGATAAGGACCAAGATCCTAACACTCCTATCCTGTTTAGAAATTACCACCAAATCTAGAAACGCTAAGAAGCCCACAAGCTCCTGAAAACCCAAGCAAGACAAGTCAGGAGGTGAAGACTGCCTCTGAAATTTCCCTTCATCCCTGGGGGATGCTTCTCACTGCCACACCCACAGGACACCTTACAATGGCATGGTGATACTGTGTTGTGCCAATGGGCTTTAGAGATGTCTAGGAGAGTCTTTTTAAGAGAAACATGCTAAGAGGCAAGCAGAATGGGGGTTATTCAAGGAAGATCCATGTCTAGGTTTATCTGTTTATAACCAAGAAAGGAGGTACACCAAACCTCCCCAAGAGATACAACTTCTGTACAATGAAAAATTCCATTTCCTACTTCTTCTTAACTTCTGTTTCCAAACCTACATGCATCTTCTTTTCCACTATATGCAAGAGAATTCGTAACATTCTCTTCTCTCCACAGTCATGTAGGTCTCCTGTTTGTTTTTAACATTTATAAAAAGTATTCTTATTTCTCTGAAATCTTTAACAGTTCACATCATTCCTGGTTTCCCATCCACAACCTTCTTGATCTTTCTTCTCCTTCTCTGCCACTTTTCTGATTTGCCAGTGTTGCAGTACGAAATTCAACAGGGACGACAAAGTTAGATGAGCACTTCCATCATCTCGCCATCGGGGAACTCGGGCTTGTGCAGCAAGCTACTGACACGGCCTCTGTGGTCCGGTGACTTCCCGTGGCTGGGAGAGTTCTCTGCCAAACAGAAAGGAAACATCAGTAGCCCACTCCTTGGGAGGCATTTTACAAGCTCTCTCTATAATGGGTCCATTTTAAAGCTACTTCTCACCCAGGAGGCTCACTCACCAGTGGATGTAGGAAGGCCGTAATTAGCCACGGAGGGAAAAGCTAAATGACCGGATCAGGATTCAGATGCAGAGACAACTGGGATGGTGATGGGAGAGGAGTAAATGGGTGGAAAGGACACTCAGACTTTGTGTAGAGACCCTCACACCCACACCTCCACACAGAGCCATCAGATGTTCACTGTAACCCAGACTCTTCTCACACATTCCTCTCCTTACTTGGTTGCATTCCAAGAATTACATTTCCATAAAATGATAACAATGTACTTGTCTATTTTGGGAACAAAAATAGATCCTGGTGGAGACAGCTTATGTATGCCTCAAGGAACTCACCACACCTCAAAAGAACTAAAGTGGGCTTTGCCCATAACTAGGATTAGTCCAGGGCCAAGTCGACCCTTCCCCTGGACACTTCTGGACTCACTGAAAAACCCATCCTTCCCCCTGCTGTCTTAAGTATCTTAAACAGCTCATCACTACTGGTCTGAGTGTTATGCTGCAAGCCAACCCAACCTGAGTTAAGGCTACTTCCTTTTCAATTAGGATGTCTTCTACTGGGCCTGGGAATCCTTGACAAGCCAATGGGCTGAAGGCCATATCTACAAACCTGAGGACTCTGGGGACCTGGTGTCTCCGAGGCACACACAGCTCCCAGATGTACCTGAGGATAGCAATTCCTTAACATTCTTCAGAGCGTCTCTTTTTACCCCTTCTGGGGAAGGACCAGTTATAAAGCACACATTACCAGGGTGGACCCAAACTCCACGTTCATTTTATATGGTAATAAAGTGGAAGTATTTATACACATTTTATTGCCATAATAACGAAATGCACACATAGCCTAAGGGCATTGGGACAACCATGATCATATAACAGATGTTGGTGGGTGCAGCTAATCTCTTTCCAGCTCAGTAAAAGATTCTTGCCCTTGGGTTACACAGTTCCATGGGTTCTTGAGTGTGGAGGAGGCAGGGACCACATACCCAGTTTCTCCATGGTCCCTTTGGCCGCTGGGTGTTTCAGGACAGGGCTGTTGGAAGGGGTTGTGCTCAGCCTGCTGCGGCTGGGGAGGGAGGCCATGTTGGGCCAGAAGAGTTCAGTGCTCTTGTCAGTCTGGGTACTGCTGTCCTTGCTGCCTGTCTTCGCATGGGCGCTGCTGGCTGACGTGGTAGAGGCCACAGGGGGCAGTGCAGAGGCAGGTGGCGTTGGCAGCAATGGAGAAGAAGTATGTTCATGGTGTTCCTTCCCCAGCAGCAATCCTGATGGCAGAAGAACAGCTTTTCCAATGACATTCTTTTTAAAGACCACCTCCCTTTTGACTGAGGATTTCTTTAATGATTTATTTACCGAGTACATAGTAAGTACTAATTATATACCTAATAAAATGATAAACACTGAAAAAATGAGAGTCCCCGCTCTAAAAAGACTGTGGTGGGAGGGGGTGTCAAGTAAACTGGTTATAATATGGCAGAATGTAGGATAACATCATTCACAAGACAGTATGGAGAGCAGAAAAGAGGAGTGAGGAGAACCAGATGAGGAGACAAGGGTTTCTCAAGATTAAGTTTACTGTACTCAACAGGGCCCAGGTGGCTGACCTAAAGCATGGTTGTGTGCTTAAGAAAAACTACAAGACCTTTCCAGTCTTTGACATGTTTCCACTTGGCTTCTGCTCTTCGAATAATTCCGAATTCCATCTCATCCTTGCTAATAGATGATGGTCTCCTGCAGGCCAGGTTCAAAAATAAACGTTCTCCCTAGTTAGGACAACCACTGAGTTGTACACATTATTCCCCAAAGAACTATGAATCCAAGAAGCAGGGAGCCAGCTGGGCTCCTAAAGAGGGTCACTGAGCTCTCTCCTCCCACGTTCCAGCAGTGGTGAAGCTGGGGTAGCTGTGAGAAAGAAGGCCCAGCACGCAGAGGTGTCCATTTCCTCAAAGCCTTCCCACAGGGCTGGACAGAGGATGATGTCTTTATCTGTATATGTGCTGCCGAAGCGAGCACAAGTGATGTCTTTATTTGTAAATGCATTACACATTCAGAAAAGTGCCAGTACTCTCGAACTCTAGCCTACAGGAAAAGTGGCAAGCATAATCTAAGTATCTGTTCACTTATCTTGTTACTGAGCCAGCAGTTCATAAAGTATCTTTGGCAGGACTGCTCAAGGTGTCATGCTTTACTCAGGGCCATTGAGTCTGTCTACAGCACACTTGCTTCTTGAAGTTTAAGGTGCTTTTCCATCATTTGGCTCTATGGTTAAAATGACCTGAGACCCTGCCTTTCTAACACACTTCCAGGTGAAGTGGTACTGCTTGTCCACAGACTACACTTTGGGTAGCAAGGTTCTGTGCTAGAGGCTTCCCACATCACCTCACTTTACATGCACAACATTCCTGTCTACCATAGAAGGATACTCAGAAAAATCAACATCTCTCATCTAAATAGCAGCAGAAATGAGCAAACCCAGCTGTGCCTGATTGGGAGCAATCTATGTTCTGTCCGCCTCCTCTCTCCCGCTGTTGAAGGTCTGACAGGATGTTCTTGTGTGGTGGAGGTGGGGTGCTGGTATAATAAACCACCAGCCAGTCATCTCTCTGGGGAGCCCCTTAGCAATCAGGAATGGGGGCGCTGTCACCACCACCTCTTCCTCAAGCCTGTGAGACTATAAGGAACTATGAGTGGCCCGACTATGTGGCTCTGCCTGCATCCTCAGAGTCCTTTGCTGTTTTTCTTCCTGTGGACACCAACTACAATGATGAAGAGGAGTAAAGGTGCAGACAGCACAGCACCTCTCCATTCAGGCCGAGGTCTGTGGCTCCCAGGCCCAGACACCAGACTGAGCTGCCTGGATACTTGTCACAAACAGGCTTCTTCCAGGGAGGTTCCCTTCAGAGCTGAGGACAGTTCACATTCCTTATGGAGGCCTGTCTGAGCCTCCTGTCCTCTAGGCTGGGAGCTAAGTGTCCTTGGGAGGGTCTTTGATGATCCCAGCTGCTGTCCATACATATCCTCTTTGAAGTGCATTTCCTCTGCAGGCAGGGGCTGCTGAGGCCACCAGCAGAGAGACTTCAAAAAGAGATTCCAGCTGGGAGCCTTTGATCCCCAACTCTGCCTGTTCATATGGCAGCTCTTATCCCCTCTGGCACAAAGCAGCCAGGCTTCTCAGGGATCCCATGCCTTAGAAAACTGGTTCTGGGCTCAAATAAGAAACAAAAACACACAGTGACCCAAAGATGTGCATAAAAGGAGGGACAGACCTCCCCAGAGTGCAGAGGAAGGGAGCAGCAGAAGGCATACACGCGTGTGTGTGTGTGTGTGTGTGTGTGTGCGCGCGCGCTGCTTGTTACTTACAGCTCAGTAGCCCAGCCAGTCACTGAACCCCAAAAGCCACCCCTGGCCAAGACCTCACTTGAGAAATTCTCAAAATGCTGCTGGGTGACAACAATACAGCAAACCCCACCGCTAACCATCTATTCCTTATACTTGAGAATGTTTCTTCCAGTGTATTTCCCCCATTATCTCACTTGGCTCTTTTACACCGAGGAAAAGTGAGGCAGACACTGCCCCCTTTTCCTAGATGTGGAAGCAGAGGGAGAGCAGTCATATAGCTGGTCTGGGGCAGACCCAACTTCTGAAGCCTTGATGCATAAGCATTTTTATCAGGACATTTTGTGTTTTCACCTCAAATTTCAACAATAACCCATAACAATTATGACATGAGCCATCCTGTGGCTAACAGCTACTCTGCTGGCATAGCCTTTAGAATTTCCATAGTGCTTCCACAGCTCCCACTTAATTTCCACAACCAGCGTATGTCTGCCCTCCGTCATTTAACAGATGAGTAAATTGAGACCGGAGATACTGAGTGCTGCCAGTGGCAGGGAGGTCACCTCTTCACTTGATCTCAGCCAAAAGGCTGAGAAGGGATGGAGGTCGCTTGTTAATGCTTGTGTGGCTTTGCTCTCCAGATCCCAGTCTGAAAGAGGAGCAGGACTCACCTATGCTGCCCTTCCAGGTCTTCTCTTCTTTCTTCTCCTCAGCGAGCTGGCTGCTGGTAAGCGAGGTCTGGCGGGAGTGTGTCCCGGTAGCCGCTGCAATGGACGGGACGGAACGTGCTGGCCGCAGGCTCGAGGAGTCTGTCTTCCCGGCATCTTTACGGGATCGCTGCTGAAGCACCTTAATCATGGCATCCTTCTCTATGATCTTGGCATGTAGATTTTTAATACTGTAGAACAGAACAAAGCAGATCCATGAAAAGCTATCTGGTTAGACAAACTTGAAGCATTTCTCTCAGGGACCTTAACTGTCACTCGGGCTGAGGGGTGGGTCTGTGGCAGAACAGGTCTTAAAACATTTACAATCTCCAAATTGCATAAGGTGGATATCCTGTAAGAAGTCAAAAGGGTGCACCTTCTCTGGCACCTCAGAGGTCCTGGGACTCTCTGGAGGGACAGTGAGAATGACTGTGGTCACCCACTAAGGACTTCCTGGACCAAGCTACTCAGGGGCCACTGCACCTAGCCAGTCTAGTACTGGGAGGAGTGATAGGAAAGCACAGAACTCCCAGGCCTGACAAACAAACGAAGTCATCAACTGAGGTCAATTTCTCTACTTTCTGAGAGAAAAATGAAGAGAGAGCAGGTTCTCTGGAAGACTTTCCCCCAGTGATGGCCAAAAATGAGAACCAGTGAAATTTGTATTTGTTTTCCACAACTCTCAGTAATGTACTAGACAGCCCTATTTTCACATCTGCACCCTGGGAGCTCAGAACTCCCAGGGCTCCATTGGCCCTCAGATGGTCAAGCCAGTGAGGCTTGTTTTATGATGTTAAAAATCTCCTGGAAATCACATATAGCCCATCAGCAGAGTACACTGGCTAAGTAAGCTTCATATCTTTGGCTGGAATATGCAACCTCCGGCTCAGAAGTCTCTGGATCTTTAGGATACGATGTTTTTCTTTTCCAGCTCATTACGTCTGGAAGGTAATAGAGGCAGATGTACAGAATTAATATGGGCATCTAAATCCTCCTATCATTAGACTCAGCCTCCCCACCTTAAGACCTGCACTGATCTGCAGTTCTCCCCCAGAGAACTCTAACACCAGGCCCTCAGCTGAGTGGAACCACGTGCTCAGCTGGATGGTGTAGAGTCCTCAAGCTCAGCCCTTCAAAACAGGACAGGGAAGCAACTGTCTCTGGAAGGGCAGGCATGTGAGTACAACAGGGGCCCCATTAGGGTCTGGAGATGAGTAGTCACGGTGGCACTTGGTGTTATGGCCACGCACGGCTGTCCCTTACGTGTACTCCATGTCCTGACACCTCCTGTTGGCCTGCACCACCTCCTCCTCCTCCTGCCAGATGTGGGCCTCCAGCGAGCTCTCCCCGTAGCTGCCATTCCTCGAATGGTTGATGATTGTGGTGTCCCTGGAAACACAGGACAGAGCCTGGGTCACTGGAAGACTTCTTGGTTTCCATGCAAACAGATTCAGAACGGAGTGGCCAGGATTTGTGTTGGAGCAGAGATATGCCCATCTCTTTCTACTCCCTCCCAAAGACCTTCCATCTTCACCGCCTCCGCTTAGCCATCACGTTCATGATGCTGGAAATGGTGCAGATGCTCACGGTGAGGAAACCCAAGGGCACCATCCTAAGACTTCTCTCCAAAAATTCCTCCACTCACCTCCCCTGTCCTAAATCCTAGGGAATTCTTTTCCTAAACTTGGCTGAGTATAAGATGGTATCTAAAGAAAACAAGATAAAATTCAAAAGTCATAATTCCCTGTCCTTTCTACTAATAACATCATGGACTGAGCTATGCGATATGTTGGGGAAATGCTGATGGGTGCACACAGATTTAATCCACTGACACACGAATACCTTTATCATCATTACACTTGGTGGTGTTTCTATGCTTGTACTTTCAATTCTTGTTCTATCTTATTTTTCTAATCACAAAGTTCTACTTCTATGTCCTGCTGTAGCAGCTATTTCAGTATTTTACAGTAAAATGGATGCTTAGTCACTACCTGAAACTGAGATTGGTCCTCTCAGATGGCTACGCCCCAAGCTGAAGTCTTCCTTCACATTTATATTCCAATTTCCTTCCTCTTTAATGGGCTCTTGCCTAGAATTGAGATTAGGCCACAGCAACAAACATACTGGGTACCAGAGCAGAAAGATGTAGAAGACAGAGACTCTATCCTGAAAGTTCAGCTAAGAAAGGTCGCTAGATGGAAAAGCAGTTTAGGTGAAAGCAGGTGTCCTGTCAAAAGTAACTTTTTGTACCACTGGATTTGTCAACTGAACTACTCTTAATTAACAATGACGAGGTAAGTGATACCTTAAGGTGAAAGCATTTAAGCCTCTGATTATGTGAATTCTGATTATGTGAATCCATAATAATCTAGTCAAATATTTCACCTTTCTTTAACTTCATATTTCAACGTTGCAATCATATTGAAAACTTTAAAGCTCCTTTCTAGAATACCCTAAAATAGCAAAAATGAGATCCTTTCTTTACTTTTTTAAAAAAGGATAATATACATTTATTTCTGTAAAATTCCCGGTGATTTCCCGATGTCAGTAGAGTTCTGTTTCTTGTATGTACCGTATATGGCTACTTTCACTTACAAGTGTTCAGTATAACACAGAAGGCATGTGAAATGCCTCAAACACCAAAATCTCCCAATAAGTTATCTCTGGCATGCCATACTTCTCAACGCACAAGTACTTTTTTGGCAATGGTTACAACTAAATGTTTGCCAGTTAATCTTTAGTTAACCAGAACCACACATTCCATAGGTATTCCTGTAAAGTGAGAGTTATATCCATAAGGATATGGTACCCAAGACAGAAAAATTTCCTCTTTTCTTCAATTTCAATGGACCTCAGCCATCAACACATCTCACTACTTTCTTAAAAATGTAGAATGAAATAGTACTTTTTTTTTTTTCCTGGTACCTGGGATCGAACTTGGGTCCTTGACGAAATAGTACTTTTGATGAAAAGTTTTTATTTCCTATTTAGAAAAAAATTCTCTTTGATACTTGAAGAATTTTTCTGTCATCTTTCACAAATATCTGATATACGTTAAGCTTAATTACACATGCTTTTCAGGACAGTCATTTTCAAGGGAAAAGTTATTTATATTTTTTAAATCTGCTGTATATAAAAGTGTATAAATGTCACTCTACCATATATATTTCCTACTTTCTCCTAATGCAGATGTGCTGGTCACATTCATGAGGTCACAAATATTAAACATATTTTACTTTTTGAATAGAGCTATGTGACAGAAAGCACACTTTTTGGCAGAAGTGACTCTATTAGATAGTTTTAAATTTCAAAGTAGCTGTTAGAAATGTTAGTAATCCTGTTCCATCTTTCTTTTTCTCATTGAGTTTATTGGTACATTTTAGGTATACAGTACAGCTACATTCATCACTGGGACCTTGTACCTTTGCATGACAGGTCTTGGTTCTCATTTTTTCCCCTTACCCCTGCCCTCCCTTCACTCCCTCCTCCCTTCCCTATTTACAAATACTTTTTCCCATTTTTTCATTTTCTCATATTTTTTTCTTTTCTTTTATTTCCTTTCCCCTACCCTTCCCACTTCCCCTATGTTCTATCTCTTGCTGAGTGGGATGACCTCAAAGTTGAAGCAGTATCTTTAAATAATCATCAGTCACCACCATCAGCTCAGTCTTGAGACTCATCAGCAGCACCCCACACAGACAGGCAGATATGGTGATGCAGCTGAATGATAAAGATCCAGGCTTCCCCGGTACCAAAAAAATAAAATAAAATAAATCCAGGCTTATGTCACATCTTTAGCGACTTTGTATAGATCATATTGTGAATATATACAAAATTCATTTAAACTTTGAACAGTATACTATATAACACATTACTGTACTATTACAAAATATCCATTTTTAGCATTACTCCAAATGCTAGCAAGCAGGTATTTTAAAATCTCCCTCTCTCTCTCTTTTTTTTTTTTGGTACTAGGGATCAAACTTGGGTTCTTTTGCTTGCTAGGCAGGTGGTGGAACCACTGAGCTAAATCCCTGGTCCCTAAAAACCTCTTTTTAAGGAGAGCTATTAGTGAGTGAGCATCTACTCTATGCAGGGATTGGAAACAGCATAGTGCACATGGTTTCTCATTTAGTTTTTGTTTTCTTTTTGGTGCTTGGGACTGAACCAAGGGCTCTGAGCATGCTAATCAAGTGCTCTATCATGGAGCTAAGCTTCAACCCTCTCATTTATGTATGCAAAAGATATTATTATCCCTGTTCAAAGATGAAGAAACCAGATTTAGGTGATTTTCCCAATATGCCCAATTAGTGAATGGTTGAAATGGACCAAATCCAAAGATGAATGACTCCAAGGTCTTTAGCCATTCTTCAACACCCCTGGAAGTTTCATTTGTGTTTATAAAAGACCTCAGCAAAGATGCATAAAGATAAAGAAAATGTGCCTCAAAATAGTGCAAGCTGTGACTGAAGATATATCATAAAAGCAAATAATACAGAGCAAAAGAATTGATTTAAGCATACTTATAACATTATTGATTCACCTTCTGGTATACAAAAACTATCAGTATTAGTGGCTAGAAACACTTTTAACTAATTTATGTCTGCACTCACATGGAACTGATAAATAAATTCATATTTATACTGTCAAGGATAGCAGGCACAATTGTCAATAGACAATTGTGCATTGCGCAATTAGGTGGTAGCTACTTTGCAATTTATAAAAATTCAAAACCTCCACACACATTAAAAAAAAAAATCTCTAAAAATTCTGATCAATGGCACAAGATACATAAAGATGGCTGGGCGTGGTGGCAAATGCCTGTGATCCCAGCACTCAGGAGGCTGAGGCAGGAGGATCCCTGTGAGTTCGAGACCAGCCTCGGCTACATAGTGAGTTCCAGGTCAGTCTCAACTGCATAGTGAGACCCTGTTTCAAAAGATAAAAAAAAAACAAACAAAAAAAAAGCAAAACAAACAAAAAACCCCAGATACATAGAGATGACAAAACCAGTTGGAACAGAGAATTATATTCTTTGTTTAAATGTCATTGCTTATAAATGTGAAGCATGCACCAGCGGCTAAAAAGTCACAGGGGTAATGGGTAGAAATAGTTGCTTTTACCACTTGTCTGCAGGCATTTGGCATCCAGACCTGAGATAAAAAATGCTTCATTTTCCTCTTCCCCTTCATTATCAACAGACAGCAACGCTTAAATTACAGAAGTTTCCTTTGAAAAGACATTAAGGTTGGCACTAAACTTCTGTGTCTCTAAACCCATCCCCCTTCCTCTCACTGATGATGGGAGGAAGTAGGCCATAAAGGGGTGGGGAGGGTGGCTTCCCAAGAGGTATCAGAAGCTGGACGAGTAACAAGGGGGAAAGTGGCACAGGGAGGAACGGTGGAAAGGACTGCATCTACATATCTACAACTGCAAACAGCACAGAAGGACAGCAGTGCAGCTGGGAACTCCAAGCTCTGGGGTAGCAGCCATTTCCTCTTGTCTGACGGATGGTGAGCAAGGCTGGGCCTAGAGCCTTCGGGTGGGTGATTGTGTTTGGGGCTTGTATGATTCTACTCATCTTCTACCCTCCCTGTGCAGGCCTGTTCACCCCCACTTCTAGATGTACAATCCAGTCGTCATCATCTGTTCAGGGCCCAGGACCCCAGGCAGATATCTAATGTGATAAATCAGCAGAAGGTGGGCCAACAATGGCACATGAAGGCCCGTGTCATCCCCCGAGGGAATGCATTTCCACAGATATGGGGCTTTAGTGTCCTCAGCCAGAGGAATGTGGTTGGATTCCCTGATCTCTAACAGCCCAGAACTACTATTCCATTTTGCATGAGGTCAGGGACACTCAAAAGGGCTTATCCCAGTCACATGCCCAGAGTCAGTGACAGGAGAAGCCTTGAACACAAATGTCTGCTTCCCTGCACAGCAATCTTGCATTCAACCCAGATACAGAAAGCAAACCAAACACTCAGGGCAACTGACGGGATACATTAGCCCAAACCCCCTCTGCAAATTTACACTGTTCTCTTCCTCAGGCTGAGAGGTAATTCATTGTTAGTTTAAAAAACAAAAAGCTGAAAAGAAGAACATTTAAGTATGTGAAAATCAAGAATGTTTCAAAGGGCTTCACCATTCCCACCTATAGAGTGCAGGACTGAGCTGGAGGCTACACCTTCTCTCCAACTCTCATCCTCTATGTGAGACCTGACTGAGCTAAAGTGAGTCCATGTTGGCTGAGTTATGGCCCCAGAGGCCATTGTGATCCACTCCCCTTTGCAGTTGCACCCCTGCCTACGTTTGAACCTTTGCTTAGGAATATGGGACTACATAACTTTGTAATCTTAAATTCCTAGCCCCAACTGTGATTAAATGTGAGTTAATGAGTAACTGCTTGGTAGCCCTGGGAAACTATAACAAACATAGAGACCCGAAGTAAATTACTCCACTCCTTGTTTGCCCGTAACTGAATGTTCTGGACACCACAATCTAAGAAACAATGGGTAATCGATCTGCTGACCATTAGTACGTGATGGCCGAGTACATGATTGATGACCACCAGCTCGGATCAACTGATCACTTGCCTTTGTCCCCTTCCTGTAAGTTTTAAGTGTTAACTCCCCCCATAGCCCCTTATGAAAACAGCCTCTGACTGAACTAGTTGCCTCTCTGAGCTACTTGGCTCCGGGAGTGCCATCTGGCCAGACTAATAAAGGTCTGTTTTCCAACTAGTCCAGTGTGTTCCTTCCTGGGTGATTCTCACTGCTCGTCAAGCTCCTGGAGCAATCGCTGGGCTACAGGGCCAGCATCTTGGAGGCCCTTTCGGCTGTTCAAGCTCCTCGGAAGGCCCTAGGTCTTACACCTAACTTTGGAATTTCTGACTCTCTCAGAGAGGTTTATTCCCACTCCCAGTCACACTCGGATGGATATTGACAGGTTGTCTCCCTTCATAGCACAGACATGTGCTAGAAAATTACTCTGAAATGGTCATTTTCCATGAGTCTGCCATCTTGCCACACTCAAGGGTGCTTGGGAGCCCAGTGGAGGCATTTGTGGCACACAGCAGCACTGCTTTTTCCAATCCCTAGAGCTAACATCTGAGCAGGCATCTGGGTATTCTTCTCCACTTGAGTAATGAGCCTGAGAGCCCATAACAGCTTATAAAGCACCCATCCCTCAATTCCAGCACGTCTTCTCACACTCACTAAAGAAACCATAAGACATCCCAAGGCAACGTGGACCTGACTATATAACCAGCTTCCCTCCTGCTTTTATTCCTATCACCCGGCTCACATGTCTCCAACCCAAATGAACAGAAATAACCCTTATGTACTAAGAAGTCCAACTTTCTGGATGCTCCTTCGAAACTGGAAAATGTCCTCCAAATGTACTGACTCTAAACTTTGGTGAATTCCAAACAACTCTAAATTAAATACACAATATGAGTTCTGAGAAAAAGTGTGCTGAGTGAAAGGGAATGAGGGGCTTGATAGGCTGTGCACAGCCACCTGATGGCCAAGACCAAGGGAAACTGCCTTGCTCATTCAGACAACAGCCTTTGGTATTTTGTGGATTTTGGCACATACTGAGATAATTTTGAAAGAAGAGTAAGGCTGTGTATCTACAGAGAGAAAGTAAAGAAAAGGAGGTAAACACTCACAGTGGCAGCAAATGATTTCAAACTAAGTGAGTCAGCTATTAAGTCAGACAGATCAGCCTGTGACTCATGGTCCACTGCTAACAGCTAGCTATTTGGAGGCAGGATTTAGAACCAACCACTGCACCTCTCTTAGGCTGTTTTCTTCAACTGTAAAATGAGAAAAGGATCTGCTATCTGGGCTGCCATGAGAGCTACACGTTCTTGTCCAGGCCATTAAACAGACTCAGTGTTAAAAGAGTCATAAAATATACTTCTCCACCATCATTCTTAGAGATCACACAGTATTCCACTGTGTGGTCATACTTTATTAAATGAGTTTCCTTTTGTTGGAAAGGTGTTCTTAAATGTTCTGATATTTTCAGCAACACCGGGTCATCCTTGGACATAATTTTCAGCAACACTGGATCATCCTTGGACATAATTCTTTGGGCACTCATGTTGCCTTCCATAAGATAAATATCTAGAACTAAAAATTTGGAACCAAAGGGAGGGTACCTATTGACAAATTATCCTCCAGAACTGTTGTATCATCTTTTTCTTCAAATGTCAATATAGTCCTTTAAACATTATCGTTAGCTGACCTTGCTCCTCAGGATGAGCCTCTGGACCTCTCTGGACCCACACATTTTGCTCTGATGTTCATTCCAATGGCAGAGTGTTCCTGTCTCACCTCTCAGCTGCAGCAGTGGCTGCAGCATTCATGGCGAAGTGTCGGATGGTGCTCTCCTCCAGGTACTTCTGTTCCCACTTGGTCATGTCAGCCTCCAGGGCTAGGATCCTCTCTTCCTTTTCCCGAACAAGTTCCATGAGGGCTGGAGCATTGTATTCTGGCATGCCAGCTTGATGGCCGTTTCCATGTTTCTGGGGAGGCAGAAATAACATCCTGATCTTCAAAATGAGCTACAAGGTGGACCACCACTTCAGTCAGGTCTGCACCGTTATCTGCATGGAGCACAATGGTCCCCCAGATTCCACGATAGTTCATAGAAATTTTCATCATGACCATGCTCCTTCTCTGCAGTGTGTTCAACCTGAAGGCAGTGGATCCTAACACCACACCACCTCACCTCTGTGTTCTCTCTCTCACCTCATTATTGTACAACATTATACTGTTACAGAAAGAAACTAAGCTTCAGAGAGGCCAAAGTAATGGCTCTTTTTTCTCAGGTAATCAATAGTAGAGTAAATATTCTAACCTGGATCTGGCTTCACAGCTCAAGGACTTTGCATGACAAGAAGTGTCTTCTGCAAGGTCATGCAGTTTATACCAAATTTATACCAAAAGGAAGAAAAGGAATTAAACCTTGGCCTCTTGGTCTAAGGCACTTTCTCTAGAATTCAAGGGAGAGATCCCACATGCTTGTTTTCTCTGAGACTGGGAGATAACACGGAAAGGCACAGGAAGTCGGAGTTAGATGCCTGAGCATGCATGCTCCCAGCTGCCAGGTTGACTTGGGAATAGAACCATCAAGACCTAACCCATTAGAGAATGAAAAGTAAATTAGTTAATGCATGTGAAAGCAGAATATCTCCAATGCAAGACCAGCTCATTTTTCAGCCCATTCTTTTCATCTATATCAGCAAGAGGAAATAAAGTGATTGTTATCTGGACTGCTCAAAAGCTGAGGATATTCACATTTCAGATGTTTCATTTAACTCAGGGATGCTATTTCTCTAAAGAACATGATGTAAGGGATGACGGGGGTTTGAGAAGTTCTGACTTCAGACCCAGCAGCACAGACAGGAAATCTCAGTGTCTCAGGGTTCTGGGCCTTGTCTGAGTGTGAGCCAGGATCCTTCACACTTGAAAGAACGATTTCCTTCCAGCTTGATTTACATCCTGGGACTTCTATTTTCTTCATGTTTTCCAGTGATCATAAATTTTAAATGCAATTTAAAATTGCAGTTAGTTGCAAGGTGAGAAATATTTGAACACTTTACCCAAAACCATTTAAGCCCTAGATCATGAAAAGGGCTGGAGAATGACCTAGAGTAATAGTTGGGCTTTTGAGCTGCACTAATGGAATAACTCCTACCAGAGAAGAGAACTAATGGAACTACAGTTTTTTTTTTTTTTTTTTTTTTTTTAAAACAA